AACAGTAACAAGTAAATCTTTGATTTGCAAAATAATTGTTTCAGAAAAGTGAATGAGGAGTGAATGAAATACTGACTAAATAAACGAATATAACAAATAAGACAACTTCGAAACTGTTACTTTTATCTTTATGAATGTAATTATGTGTACGTAAAAACGAGTTAGATAAATTAATGTTTCTCATACTTCTGGAATTTCTGATTTCTGTTTAAGAAAACTTTTGAAAATACGAATCTGCAGATAAGAAGATTAGAGATCGAAAATAAGATTACTTTATGCGCAAATGTTTTGGATTAGATATTTTCTCAGTATCTTGATTTAACGTTACAAAATACCACCATCGTGTCCATTGTGATCAAATCGTAACTATGATTATTTGAATATTTTGGTGAATAAGTAATTCACACAAGCAGATCAGCATAAAGGAATAAGCAATCATTCAAATATGTGTTTATCTATTTGAATATAATCTCAATTAATAAAATTCCACTATATCCACCCAAGAAGAACTAAGCAAACGACTGTTCAATCTATATTAAACTTTGTGTAAACATTTCTAAAAAGACCTTTGTGAAAAAAAGCAGAAGTTTTAATTTTGACGACATTTTGCTTTTTAACAACAGAGGCGGATACGTATTTAATAAAAAGTATTTAAAATACTTTCATTTAAAAAATAATCATTAATGTATGTGATTATATATAAAGACGAATTACTTAGTATCTAATTAAAAGAAACTCTGATCTCCTTCAGTTTTCCAAATTAATTTGTTTTTTTTATGTCATATTGACACGATCTATCAACAATATAATAGAAGAATTTTGTGAATTCTTTCTGAGGTGAGACAGGATTAAAACATGATTAGCAGCAAAATTGGATCTGCATCAGATTACGTTTGTACGTTTTAGTGTACGTCTTATTTCATAGTCTATATTTTCGACGAATTCCAGGTCGAATAATAATTTTTAATCCAGTAAAATAATAATTTTTCCTCGGAAATAAAGCTATTCAATAATACAAGCCTCTACGTAATGTACGTAGAATCTCGTCTTTAGAGAAAAGTCTGTATATTCGACGAACAAACACGTTATTTGATCATTATTATCATAATATGTATCTGAACATAGTGTAGTTTGGAGGATAAATATATTCGACTCAAAAACAAACGAGATTGTTGAGAAATGACCCGCAGATCGCGGATTTTTATGCCATTATGGAATGCACAAATTTGGAAACCGCCAAAAAATGTGTATATCGACAAAAAGGAAGAGCATTACTACTTTGAATTCGGCGCAAGAGATCTGTCAGACGATACGAGACATTTCTCTTTTCTTCGAACATTTATAAAATAATGCTTGAAAATGAGAGTTTACATAAAAATCCGCAGTCTAACGACCAACTTCTCTAAACACTGATGATCAACTTCTCTCCTTAAAATGATCGTGTACCCGTATGTAACGGGCACATGTAAATTAACAAAGAACAGTTTTAAACGTTTAATATAGTTCGAAACATAGTTCGAAACTATGCTTCATTTTCTGTGCTTGCACAAGATCTTATGCTAGAAGGGCAGATTTCAATTTTCTCTTCGCAATCGTGTGAAAACAAGTATAAAAACTGTTTCACAGTTCTGAAATGTCACGTGTACATGAAAATCATTGTGCTTCGAGGAATTAATCCCTTGCACTATGATTGCTGTCACAGCTACGTTAATTAGCCCCTCCTCGCCCTTAACCACTTGCACTACGATTTCTTTCACAGTTACGTTGATTAGCACTTCTCTTCACCCTTAATAATGTCCGTAATTGATGGTGACAATTTTTATTTTTTGGATGTCCTCGTTCACTTTTATTTCTACATTTTGATAACCGAAGAATCTAATTATGTTTCGATTTAGAAGAAACGAACAACATTCATATTTAGCAGATAATTTATGAAATCTTCGTCGCGAGCCTAATTGACTCTTCGTGCGGTTCTTAACAATGCAAACATTCTCTTCCATCCGCCAAAGAACCGCACGAACTTTTTGGCCAACCTAATACAAGGGGTTAAAGAGAAGCATAGCTCGGATTTCGGTTAGATCAACTATCTGTCCCAAATAACTTTCATCTTCGTTTTCCGCGACCCGAGTTTATTTGCGGCGAGGGTGATTCACTTTATCCGATCCGATTGATTTACTTTTCCCAAGAAGGTCCCGAAAAATAGGTCTGAAAAATTTGATTGTCCAGGCGCTGTGTAAACTTGAGAAAATTCGTAGAGCCGCGAATAAACGAACAATGGACATTCTAAGATGGCGAAAAATAAAGTAAGATCATCGCGTTGGCATGATAAACACAGGCGAGATTGTGACTTACACGTGCCGTTGGCGTTTCTGCTGAGTATTTTCTGTAGAGACGCGTTGACAGCGTTGACAGCGTTGACAGCGGATACGGCTGGAATCGTGGCCAGAGTTGGCAATCCGGGAGCGGATTGCTGGTGTTTGGTCGGAGGACTGGCAACCACGACCACGGGATTCTGGATGGAACAGGATGTGACGGAAGTGAGGGAAGTCAGGGGACCAGCGGCAGGGACCGCGTTGATGGTCACCGTTGGTACCGGAGAGGGTGTCCCGATGGCCCTCGTGGTGGACACCGTCGAGGGTGCGTTGGTCTCCTCCACGCGACTCTCCATCTTCGATGGTCGACTCTTCGTTTTCCTCTCTGTTGCCTCTTTCTTTTTTTCCGTCTCCTTAACTCGGTGGAGGAAGACCCCAAGGTCGACACCCTGGCACCCTTTCGCTGTCCGCACTCACGACACTCGGAGAACAGTACTTGTTTGACTCATCGAAAAATATCTGCATTTAACAACTCGAGACCGAACAGATCGAACCCCCCCTTTTTACATAGTCTCTCAGCAAGCTCGAGCCGAATCAAGACGACCGGCGGTCGATCGTCATGATCGAAGGACACGCGCGTGATAAGGATCAAAGAGGATCAGGATCGCGAGAGGATCGACGATGGGAGGGGACGGTTGAAATGCGATCGCGGTGATTTCTCACGGAGGTTCTAAACTTTCCGTGATGCATAAAATTAGCTATGAAGCACACCGGTGAACGGGGGACGGTTTCGTTGTTTGCGGGTGGAAAAGGTCTTTTTTTCGTGACCGATGGATAAAAAGAACCGGCGACTATACTAGTTGGGCGAACCAGCCTGGTTTAGTCGAGCGAACATGAAAGCTTTAGCTGACGAAAGTGAAACGCGAGCAGATTCGTATCCGTCGAACCGTTTCAACCGATGTCTTCGAGAGGAACACCGCGAGAGCGTTTCCCGTGGAAATTCTGCGTGCGCTCGGAACGGATAGATCGAACGCTCGATATACAGAATGAATGAAAGTCGATGAAAAATATCGTTGATACTTGAAAATGCGACAGCGTGGCACTCGCAACGATGACGCGGCGCGCATTGCCGGCCATCGAGTGATTCCACGGAGTGTCTGCGCCGTGCCCCCTCTACTCCGCCACACAACGTGCAATATTCTCCCTACCCTTTCACGTTCACCGTATTCACGTGCGGTTGCCCCACCCCCCACCACCTTTCGGATGATTCCTCCCTCCATCAGGAAGATGAATAACGATGGGCATTACCGTGTTAACCGCGCTACGTAAATCCTCGTTGCCGCGAGTACGCTTCGGTCCACGGTAAACAACGATCGATCGATCCACGGTGGGCCAGCGGATTCTAAAAAGTGGCCACAATCAAAGTCGGGAGATCGAATATTAACCCGCAAATGGCGGACTTCTTTGATAAGAATATAACCGGATATATGCAAGCGAACGAGTGATGATGTTAAAAAAAATATGGGTGGAAATATTAAAAGGAAGATACGAAGCTAAAAGAATACAGATAAACTAAAGTAAAGAAAGTAATAATAGTCTAATAATAACAGTTTATATTTCTACCTATACCTTTTAATATCGTCAGTCATTCGCTTGTGTACTCGGTTGCATTTTTATATTCAAAAATATTACAACGTAGAAAAGTTTTGTATAAAAATTGGCCAACTTTGACCGACCGATAGAATGATGACTTTTCTTTAAATTAGAGGTTCGAAAACTTTACTTTAAGATAATGTTTCTGGACTTTAAGTTCGACGCATCCTCGCCACTGTAATCATTTTTAGATATCCTTGCATTTTTGTCATATACCATCGACGTTGGCGTTATCGGATATGAAATAAAAAATTTTACAAATTCTATGTATTTCGTGAAACTTGGCTACTTTTAATGTGACGAACATGGCCTCGCATGTAAACGGTTATAACTTAAAATTCAGGAACATCTTAAAGTATCAGTTTCAAGCTTTAATTAAAAAAAAAGTCATCACTCTACGACGGTTTTTTGCGAAATTATCATCAGTCAATGCTAATCAATTTTTATCCAAAATTTTACCATGCTATAATTTTTTTGAACAGTGTATTTTATTAAATATTTTTATATAACTAAATATATAATCAATAATTACATAGTTATGTACATATTCTATAAATGTATCTAAATTTAGGATTGCGAAGTAGAAACTAAAAAAGTATTTGTAAAAACACTAAACACCTAATGCATATTAACTAAAGATTGAGCTTTCATTAAATTGCATTATATTACTGTGCCTATAAAATTTGTTTCCACGCATTTTCTTCCAATAAACACAAAAATCTTGTAGTCCAAAATTATATTGCAATTTGCAATATAATAAAAGCAAGAAAGACACCAATGGAAAAGGAAAAAATTCTTAGACAATAGATCTAGTGTCTTACATTTCAACGATTCATTATGGATATTTTAAGGTCCTTAACGCGTCTAAAGCAGAAGATTTTGTTATTATCGTAGAAGGTAATTAATAATTAATTGGACAAAATCACAATATACATGTACCTATGATATAAATTAATAATTCTTTTTATTTACAACTCTTTTCCTTTTTCAATTCATGATTTCATGTTAGCGTAATTCACTAATTAGAATGTAGAGAAGAAGGTATAAATATGAGACTCTCGTAATATTTTTTTATGTAGAGAGTCCCAGGATAAGCATAAATAGAAAATGAAATATAGAAAAATAGGCTAGCCGAATAAGATGGTCAAAAATACGCTTAGAGATTTTTCGATGATTATTACACCGGTCGATAGCTGACTAAGAAAAAACTCTGTGTAAAATATCAACTCTGTAGCTTGCCCGGGAGGGTAGTTACACGATAAATTAGATCGAACAAACTCAAGAAAGTTGCATCGATAGCAATTAAATAAAAAATAAAAAATATAATAAAAATAATAAATGAAAAAAATAAAAATTAAACTAAAAATATACCACGATAGAAATCTGCAAAATGAAGAAATTGTACACTCAACAAATCAATGGAAATATCGTTCCCTCTATACAAAACTGCAGGAAATACATAATTTCACAAATAAACAAAATAAGAATCTCCCACAACCACTATTATACCGCCAACACCCTACCCATACTGATGACTCCTGGAGGACACAAAAACAGAAACAGAGAAAGAATGCCAAAATGCAATCACCACTTATTGGGAAACAAAAATAAAACGGATTGTAACAAAGGGCTGTCGCATCCCGTTCATAGAAATTAGCTACATATTCGACCGCAATAAACACAATAGTAATTAATTATTAATATAGTTATTTAAAAATAACTATCGAGTTACCAACAACACCGAGATAGACGTAACAAAATACATAGTAGGCAAACACAAAAACCTACACATGACGAACACAATAGAGAAACTGAACCTAATAGGATCATACTTTGCTCTGACTCACAACCAGAACAAAAAAATGGGAAGCATCGCATAGAATCCGTAATAAATTCAGCATCACTACGCTAAAAAACAAACTCACTAAAGAACTCACCAACCACACGACCCTTACAAACTTCGCACCAAACTCACCGGCATTTAACCCAGTACACAGCAAGATAAAAAAATCTCCTGGGCAGATACATATTCCTCTACAGCATACTGTTCAACAATGCACTCAACAACGGATATTTCCCCAAAAATGGGTAAAAACAAAAGGAAAATAATATTTAATTTAAATAAAATAATTAAATGATATTTATTAACATTATTCTTTATTGTTTTTGATTTTTATATAATATTTGAGAATATGTACACGTTTTAACATTAGAAAACTAATCATTTTGTAACATAAAAATGAAAAAGTGCCGATTATCCGCTTCAATTTATTCGGCTTTATCCATAATATTTTTAATATCACTTGGTCCATCCAAAAAAGAATTAAGGTTTACAGATTGTGTATCTCCTGATAAATTGTTTTTATATGTATGTAAGTATATCTACGTCATAAAATAGAGAAGAGTTGATTTTTCCAGACAGTATGAACAAAATAACAAGAATATTTTCTTATGCATTTTCTGCATACAGAATAATATATTGTGGATTAATGTGTAAAAAAACTGTTTAAGTACACTTGAAAGTATTGATGCAATTTGTGAAAAGATTGTGAAGTAACCAGTATTCTTTTATTTTGTTTATCTTTACATAAAAAATTGTAATATATCTTGTTTGACAAATATGAAGTTAATTATTCCCGAAAATAAACTAAAGGCACAGCAATTGCTCAACCGGCTTCACTACCCTATAACACTGTTCTGTGTTACGATCGGTTTCATTTATAATAATTTTTATATTAAATTGGCCAATTTTGTTCGACTCTTTTTCCCAAGCCAGCTCTAGAAATCCATATATTCTAAAATGCATTTCCAATTTCAATGCAAATCCGACACATTAAATAATTTTGCGAAGTTATCGATTTCCGAAGTGCGAGAAAGGCATATTTTATTGTACAAATGGATGGAAAACTATAAAAACCGTATTCCAATAATAAGTGGACGAAGAATGGGAACAAGTGAGTACACTTTTAATGTATTGCTTCAAGAATATGGTCAAAAGTATTTTGCATAATTCTAATGTATTGATAAAATAAATTGTCATTTTCTTGTAACTGACAGTGATGACAGTGGTGAAATTCGCCAAATTTTATTTGATCTTTATACAAATATTTGTGCTATACTGCGCTACGTCTTCTCTTCCGTCTATTCTTTGCTATTACATACTTCATTAATAATTTTCAGTTAAAAAAAGCAAGTCCAACGTCGAGATAAACATCTTGAAAACTGACCGACTCGATCTTAAATAATATTCCATAGTTGGCTATATACATTTTTCGTGTTCTAATTCACCAGAGAATATCATTTCCGGTTCCATAACGCTTCATTCAGTGGTGTGCGTAATTGTAGACTCAAAGTAACGTTGACATTGTTCTCGATATCCAAACAAAAACTTAACGAAACATCGTGTTTGTATATTTTTTTGTATATGTTTATATATATATATATATATATATATATATATATATAATAAAATAGAAATATACAAACACGATGTTATATATATATATATTATTATTATATATATATATATATATAATTATATTTCTATCTTAAGTTTTTTTTTAAAATATAACTGAAAATATAAAAGTTAGTATGAGTCTATGTATAATTACTCACACCACTGTATCAATTTCGGATATTCCTTGCGACTTGTTTTGTTAAAAATTTCTTCCAAACACTGTGATTTGTCCTATCTTTCATGTTTTCCGTTAAAAGATTATTGTAAACCTAGAATAAACTATCCATCTTTAAAAAATTTTCCTAACTTTAGCACTCCGATAATTATGCCAATCAATACTATACCGTCGAAGAAATTTTCAGGATGGTGATTATCTACAAAAAAAGTACCACCCATCGATCTTGATGTTTTTTTAATATGTCGTCAACGTGGTACTTGGTGAACGTTGTTTATTCAAAAGTTATTGACCAAAAAAGTAATAATTACACAATTAAAAATNGACCACCCGTCCACCCCTATTAAAATGAAGAGGAGTGATTTTTATTGAAAACTAAAAAATTTGGATAACCAATTCGAGTACGCTCTGTCGAATGATGGTAGTTACAATTTCCGGCAATGTCTGAAAATGGGATTTTTAGACCGAAAGTCGTATTTTTTAAATAAAACCTGACATTTTTCATTCCATATTCGGGTTGCACGCGAAAAGATATAAAAGCTTTATCTCATTGTGAAACATGTTTTTTCAAAATGCCTTCATTGGATAGAAAATAATCTCTAATCAATGAACTCACATTTTTCAAATTAAAGATTTAATTTTTAGTAACGAATTTGAACAAGTTACAAAACAAACATTAAAGAACAATACCTCCTCTTAAGTAAATTAATAAACAAATTAACAGAAGTAAACTGTGGAAATAAACAATAGAATAACAAGGATTAATTTTGAAAATGAAAAGGAAATAAATGGATGTCTAATATTGATTCACGTAACTTGAGAAAAGGAGTGTGTAAATGGAAAAGTATTTAACGTTGGTGTTCAAATGGATAATAATGTGATGGATAATAATAACCCTGCATAATAAACGATAAGAAAAATTAAAATAAAAAAGTAATTTTTGTACTTCAAAATTTTGCCTTTATATCCGCAAAAGTTGTAATTCTGTATTAATAATTGACTTGTCATTACACGAGAATCAACTCGAATGCTATTACAAAATGAATGAACTATTTCAGAATAGAAAAATCGTGAGATAAGTTACCCTATTCGTCAGATTTATTATTTTCTCTACATAGGTAGCTACATGCAGGCTGTATACATACGTAGAACATATATGTATGCCCCACCTTAGCCCTTGATGCTGCTGCAAAAACTGTGCTCCTACCATCCCTACCGTCTTCACCGTCTCTGTGAAACACGAATGGTGGTAAGAGAGGAGGAAGACGTCTTACAAAAACCAACCCCCTCCCCGCCAGCATCGTATGCACCCCTTGGAAAGATTATAGACCTCTTTACCCCGCCATCGACTGACGAACAGTCAACATTTTTGCGAGTTGCTCAACCCTCGATGTCTCGAAGACGGGATCTTTTGAAAAATTCGCACATATAATTTATTTTCTTGCTGCCACACTCCCCAGCACTCTCGCTGTACAGCAACTCCGTTTTTCGCTGGTTCGCAGCACAGTGCTTTTTTCTACGTTGTTACAGAGTCTTGCCTCTGCCGTTCCTATTTTTACATTTATCCACCCTCGACCATTACTGCTAGTCCTGGTACCAAGCGTGCTCACACCACTGTTCTGTCATTTCCGCGATGACAGAAATAGAGGGACAAATTTTTGCTCGAGCAACCAGAAAAAGCTTGAAAGTGCGGTTTTGCAAGGTAGTGAGCAGAATTTTTTGTTCCGCTCTCGTTCTCGACGACAGCGTCGAGGAGCCGGTTAGAAAAGATAGACCAAGCGTTCGTTAGCCTCGACAAAAAAGGTTCCGGGTTACACGTGAAACGGACGAAATTAAATGGGATTGGTATTTACATTAATAAGTTTGTTAATTCGCGCATCGCCAGAGTACGCGGCGTCGCGTCTAATGGTCGGCTATGCCGGTAACAATGGACACGGCGGAAAGACGGAAAAAATGGTCACGTCTGACCTGTGNGAATCCCAAAACAATCGAGATCGGAGGGTAGTAACTTTTTGTAAATATCTAACTATAAGATTTGCGTAATATATAGGGTGTCCCAGACCACCCGTCCACCCCTATTAAAATGAAGAGGAGTGATTTTTATTGAAAACTAAAAAATTTGGATAACCAATTCGAGTACGCTCTGTCGAATGATGGTAGTTACAATTTCCGGCAATGTCTGAAAATGGGATTTTTAGACCGAAAGTCGTATTTTTTAAATAAAACCTGACATTTTTCATTCCATATTCGGGTTGCACGCGAAAAGATATAAAAGCTTTATCTCATTGTGAAACATGTTTTTTCAAAATGCCTTCATTGGATAGAAAATAATCTCTAATCAATGAACTCACATTTTTCAAATTAAAGATTTAATTTTTAGTAACGAATTTGAACAAGTTACAAAACAAACATTAAAGAACAATACCTCCTCTTAAGTAAATTAATAAACAAATTAACAGAAGTAAACTGTGGAAATAAACAATAGAATAACAAGGATTAATTTTGAAAATGAAAAGGAAATAAATGGATGTCTAATATTGATTCACGTAACTTGAGAAAAGGAGTGTGTAAATGGAAAAGTATTTAACGTTGGTGTTCAAATGGATAATAATGTGATGGATAATAATAACCCTGCATAATAAACGATAAGAAAAATTAAAATAAAAAAGTAATTTTTGTACTTCAAAATTTTGCCTTTATATCCGCAAAAGTTGTAATTCTGTATTAATAATTGACTTGTCATTACACGAGAATCAACTCGAATGCTATTACAAAATGAATGAACTATTTCAGAATAGAAAAATCGTGAGATAAGTTACCCTATTCGTCAGATTTATTATTTTCTCTACATAGGTAGCTACATGCAGGCTGTATACATACGTAGAACATATATGTATGCCCCACCTTAGCCCTTGATGCTGCTGCAAAAACTGTGCTCCTACCATCCCTACCGTCTTCACCGTCTCTGTGAAACACGAATGGTGGTAAGAGAGGAGGAAGACGTCTTACAAAAACCAACCCCCTCCCCGCCAGCATCGTATGCACCCCTTGGAAAGATTATAGACCTCTTTACCCCGCCATCGACTGACGAACAGTCAACATTTTTGCGAGTTGCTCAACCCTCGATGTCTCGAAGACGGGATCTTTTGAAAAATTCGCACATATAATTTATTTTCTTGCTGCCACACTCCCCAGCACTCTCGCTGTACAGCAACTCCGTTTTTCGCTGGTTCGCAGCACAGTGCTTTTTTCTACGTTGTTACAGAGTCTTGCCTCTGCCGTTCCTATTTTTACATTTATCCACCCTCGACCATTACTGCTAGTCCTGGTACCAAGCGTGCTCACACCACTGTTCTGTCATTTCCGCGATGACAGAAATAGAGGGACAAATTTTTGCTCGAGCAACCAGAAAAAGCTTGAAAGTGCGGTTTTGCAAGGTAGTGAGCAGAATTTTTTGTTCCGCTCTCGTTCTCGACGACAGCGTCGAGGAGCCGGTTAGAAAAGATAGACCAAGCGTTCGTTAGCCTCGACAAAAAAGGTTCCGGGTTACACGTGAAACGGACGAAATTAAATGGGATTGGTATTTACATTAATAAGTTTGTTAATTCGCGCATCGCCAGAGTACGCGGCGTCGCGTCTAATGGTCGGCTATGCCGGTAACAATGGACACGGCGGAAAGACGGAAAAAATGGTCACGTCTGACCTGTGAAACGGCAAAACAAGATACAAGTCCTTGAATATGTGGCGCATGCAAATTGCCGAAGTCTGTGAAGTAAATCGGAACCCAAGAAGGGTTCGGAGCAAACGGTGGACAGTTTTTTTTGGTCAGAAGTTGCTTCGTCCGACCGTAGGAAGATAACAAAAAATTGCGAGGTGCGTGTTTCATCAACGATGGAACATGTGGGGTCGAGACCGTGAGATTTTGACAAGGTGTATCATCCTCGAATAAATCCCCGTCTATGTGATCTCTACGTGAGAGAAATTTTTTACTTTATAAGGAAATTCGTTCACGGAAAGCAGGATGTTAAGACTTTAAGTAGTAATCACAAGAGTCTTCTTTGTTTTTTTTATATAAGTAATTATTATTTGATGTTTTATGAAATACAGAAAAAAAATTAGGCGTTGCGATCGATCTAACAATTTACAGTAAAAAACGAATCAAGTAATAATTAGGCCATGCTCTCAGTACTACGCAATAAGTATTACACTGCACTCGGTGAAGAACGTTCTTGTCATATTATTACATTCATAAGACTACGTAATGCCTTTTAATCGCCTTAAAATCATTAATATGTGCACATTAATATATCAAATGCGCCAAAAACATTAATACAAAAATATTGAACAAAGTATTATATCTAGAAGTATTACAGACATACAAAATTAGAATTAAATGCTCGATTAAAGTTACATTTAGCTTCAGGAATTTCGAAAATGCAATCGTTTAAACAATCTTGTAAGACAGTAGATGGTGTAAGTAAGACGGATTCGATTACGATAAAAATATAATGTAGTAATCCAAGGAATGGATAAAAACAACATAAAATTATACACAACCGTATTCGTACCACACAGGACTCCCTGCTTTCGGATCTTTATCTAAGGGAGGATCTATAATAGTTTCCTCTTGTCCTACTTCTTTCATTTCGCTATTCATATTTTTTGATTCGTTTATCACTGCCGAGACCTTATTATATATAAGAACTGGACGAGGTTCTACTTGTACTTCTGGTCTTGGGGACTCGCCCATCAATACTGAACGTCTGTCGTCACTCTGCTCCTGCATTCATTTCAACTAATTAGTTTATTGTTACCCGGGACCTATTGTTACCCGGGAGCTATTGTTAACCAGAACCATTACGTACTGGTGCAGTAGCTGATGGAGGTGGAGAATCGTCAGTATAATATACAGTTCTTCTTGTTCCTGGGTGACCAAGGGACAATGTGTCTGATCCAAGGCCCCTGCTAGCTGACCCTTATAAATTATATATGATTTATAATGAAAAAAAATAAAAATATGAAGAGAAATTAAATAAAAAATTACTGTTTCTATCAAGATCTTTTATAAAAATTTTATTTTATTAAAATTGTATTGCGATTGAACTAAAGTTTCTCTTTTATTTGAATATTTACTAGTGACATTATTTTAAATGCCTAACCTTTGCGATGTCTTTAATTTATACCTGCTAAATGATCTTCGGTGCTAGCATCTGAATCATTTCCTCCAGATTCTGATTCATATGTTTTACCTTCTGAAAGCTTAGAGTCATCTGCCCAAGATCGACGATTCTAGATCACATGAATGAAAGAAAAGTTAAAAATTCTGTTTTCTGTATCTTATATCAACAATTGTTGAATTGTTTACCTTATTAAGCAGTTCTGACCCAGCTTTTCTGACTCTTCTCACTAAATTGGCACCAAATCCTTTCCTTTAAAAAATAATGAAATTAAGAATAGTATTGTACAAATGCATATACCTGAACGAACATCTCAACTTACTTCTTTGGAGTACAGCTTTCTAATTTTTTGTAATGTTCCATAATCTTATCTTCTAATTTTTCCTTTTGTCTGTACAAGTAGTTCACTTTGTCCCTATAAAAATTTAGTAATTACAATGAGGTAATTTAAATGAATTAAATTTCGTTAGATTAAATACCAACGTGTACATCTTCTCTTCCATGTGATACTGTTCTTTATCTTCTAGAGATCGAGTCAGAAGTTCATGATACTGAGTAAATAATACACTAATGTGATCCATTAATGAACGCTTGTCTTTGTCTAATCCAGCATTCATATGCAACAGCATCTAAAAGGAACATATGAACTAAGACAATAGAAAATTTATACAAAAAAAATGACATATTTCAACTCTTAAATAGAAAAAGTTTTCTCATACTTCACAACATTTATTAAGCTTGTTAAATTGAAGTTCAAGGTTCGAGCATCTTTCGTCTCTACTGCTAAGTTCTCCTTGTATTTCTGTTAACTTAAGACTCAGTCGATTCGTCTCGATTTTATTTTTCCGGTAATCTTCTTGCAAATTCCTATACTCCATTTTTAATTTTTCTGTAGCAGTGTACAAATTTCTGAAGTCATCCTGGAATCGTTATACAATGATTAAATAAATTAAATAAATTTAATACAATGACTATATAAATTATTTATACACTCTTTTACCTTTAATTTGGAATGTTCTCCTCGCAAGTTGTTCAAACTCTTAGCATTATTTACTAAGGACTCTTTTTCTGCTTGAAGTGCTTTATTTTTTCCTTCCATACTCTCATATGACTCGCGCAATGTTCTAATTTCGTTTTTTACATCTCGTAAATTTGATTTCAGAACGTCATGCTCATGAAATAAATTTTCATACTCGTTATTTAATTGTTCATGTAAAGATTGCAAGGTATCTTGATCGCGAAGGAGCTGCATATGCGTCTGGTGCTGAGTCACACGTTCTTTCAACAACTAAGTTAGAGAAAATAAATTTATAATGACTGGTAAAAGATTTTCAACTCTCCATGACTAATGGTTTTCTAAGTTTGAACACCTAATCCTATTCGTAAGTACAATATGGAACGCAATGTTGAACAAAGACTATGAAATACGAACAATACACAAGGAACCCTTAGTAAATTAATATGATTTTAATATTATTTGAATTTTATTAAAGTTAATAAAAATATTAATTTATTTATTATTCCCAGAAAAATGCATTTTGCCAAAGAATGCTACAGTTACTTTTACATAAAAAAGATATGTATTTGGATTCTCTAAGTAATCCCGCTTCATATGTCAAGTGTTAAACAGAGTGTTCAATTATATTTGGATATTCTTTCAAGGAATGATTCCATAAACTAAAGCAAAGAGATATCAGAATTGACGAAATCATAATGCAGATTTTATTTTCAAACTGTTAATGATTCATAAACTCCCTAAATTATAATGATCTGCTAATAGTAATGTCCACGAATATGATCACGAATAATAATGTACTATGCAAGAGAAGTGGTCACAAAAACTTAAAGCATACAATTGTTATCATAATGGCAAAACGTTAATTGTTAACACCTTCAAAACAAAAGTTTCCTAATAATTAAGAAAGATATTGCAATTTCGTGATTCCTAATTTAAGAGCACAGCCTTATAGTAACAGCTGATATTGACAACAAATGAAAACATGTTCAAAACCATTGGGTGATTCTTGTAGAGCTGAACTTATCAAACACGAATTCGAAAACCAAATTCCTATGTCACCACCAGTTTCCAAAAAAAAAAATACGAGTTTTTATAAAAGCGTGCGATTTTTAGCAAAAATGAAGTATTGCACGAAAACTAAAAATGTTAAAAAAGTCATATTGACCTAAAAGATAGAGTAAAGATTCCTGAATATGTCAGTATCAATATTTATAATATTTTAAGCTTCTAAATATGTACTGTTAAATGAAGCCAGATTTTAAAAAAATGTCGAAGTACATGTTTTCTACGCAATATTTTTACATATTTGCGAGAAGCTTCTAACCTGACACGAAAACTGGGTGACAGGGAAGTGATAACTCGAAACATCTGACTGCAAAAGTCTAACCTTAACACCTCGTTAATAAAGAGTAACTTACCTCTTCTTTTTCAGCAACAAGTTGTGAATTTGCAAGTTGCAAAGCAGTATGTTGTGCTGCTAAAGAATTATTTTGAGATTGTAACGTTGTAATTTGTACTTGAAATTTTGCATTTTCAGACAAAAGATTCTCTGATGCCGTTTGTGTGCTAATTAATTTCATATGTAAATGTTCTTGCTCCTTCTGTAATCAAATCAAGTATAAAGAACTGTATTTTAAAATACTCGAGCTGCTTATATTTACTCCATACAGTTACTTAGATACCTTAAGTGATTCCACAGTTGCCTCTAATGTACTATGCAAACTAATCGTTTCATTAGTTTCAGGACTTGTAGATTCAGAGACCAAGTTTACACAGGAATAAGAATTGCTTATCCTTCGAACATACTCAACAACTTCTGGAATTTGTGCAATCCTGTAATTATCAAATCAAATAATCAATAATACTTATAATTTAATATATTAAATATTTCATTTATTAATATAATCACTTTTCAAGGATATTGTCCAGTGGAAGCGACAATATCATATTATCACTGAGTCCAAGTTTATCTAGAATCGTGTATAATTGCTGAGAATTTAATTTTTCAGCTACCAAAGTAGATTGTAAAATCTCTAATGTCTCTCTGTCGATGGCCGCCCGCGAATCTAATTCCTTACTAGATCTTTCAATTTCCTGCAATCTGCCAGAATAAATAATTTTGCAACAAACATTCTTCTCATAGGTTATCAAACGTATCTCAAATATAATACTGCATACCTTGAAATTTGTACGACATGATCATGGAGTTCTTGTTCAAGTTGTATCACTTTCTTTTCCAAAACTTCAATACTATTTGCTGCTTTATCCAATGCAACATCTTTTTCCTATAATTTATTATGATTAACTTATTAAATAGAAGTTAAATAGAATAATTAATGTATTTAATAGAATATTAATATTCACACCTCTATTGTTTCCCTATACCGATGAACATCACGTTGTGCTGTATCTTTCTCTTTCTCTAACGTTACAAGTTTTGACTCAAAATCAAGACACTTAGTGCTAAGATCTTCCATATTATTCTCCATAATCTTTAGTTCTTCTACTTTCTGATTAGCGAGTTCGAAAGATCGTTCTAAATCATCTGCTCGCCTTTGTACGCTTTCTAATAAAGATTGAACTCGCTGTTTCTCTTTCACTGCGGTGTCATAATTTTTTTCTAATTCTATCATCTTTGTATGTTGAGCCTAAAACGAAAAAGTGGATAATATATATCAATAATATTGACATTTTCATATAATGTGTAATGTATAGTGTGTTCGACTACATGTATAAAATATTTTAAAATGTGATTCTACAATACAATCTAAAACAAAATTCAAAATAACAATATTTTAACAGATTTGTTTTAAAGTTGTTAACAATTAAAGTTGACCAATATCGGTATATCAGACAGCTCTTTGTCTCCATTTTTCCAATTAAGAATTAAAATATTTAACACGTGTAAGCAAATACCCTATATGTTAATAACATACTTGAAATTCTTGTTGTTGTTTCTCCGACTGTGCTCTTTGACTTTTCAATGAATTTTGTAATTTCTTGTTTTCCTCAAGAGCTTGCTTCCACACCAATTCTAGATCTGCATTCTGTTGCGTAAGCCTTTCAATGTTGTCGTTCAATGATTCAATCTTTAAAGATTGTTTTTTTTTCTCTTTTTCCAACTCCAAAACTCGAGAAGAATTCTCATGAAATGAATTTTCCTTCATAGAATCTATCAAGGTAAGTAATCGGCGATTTTCTAACTCTAACTTCAACGCTCGCGTTTGGGCATTATTTGTCAATTGTTCGGACAATCTATTATCAGTGTGTGCTAGATAAAATTTAAACATTAGTTAAACCTAAGTAAATAGTTCAATTTCTTACATATTAAACAGTAATTAGTTCTTACCTGGCTCATCAGAATCACTTATGGAATCAGCTAATGCAGCTTCATTTGCTGCAGCTTTTGTTAATTTGTGCAGTTGAGTATTTTCTTCAACAAGTTCTTGGTACTTTTCTTTATCCGCTCCGCGTTCCTAGAGGGCATAATATTATGTTTTAATTTAATTTTGATATGAATTAAATATGAATGAATAAATTATAATTTTTTCACAAATACCAATGCCATATCGTTTAATAGTTGTTTATATTTAATTATTTCGGACTCAAGCTCTAACACTTTATCTGCTCTTCTCCGCGACGAATTCAACTGATCTTCGAGCATTTCTCTGGTCTCCATCAAGACTCTATAATAAATCAATTTTTTAAAACAAAAGTTTCATAACATTAAATTTCGAGGTATAAATACATTGGTTAAATAAAGTACCTATTATCTTCCCTTAGCTCTTCTATACGAGTTTTATAGAATTCAATATCTGTAAGTTTCTCTCTGTATCTTACTACTTCTTGCTCTAATCTATCAGCACGATCTGCTCTTTCAATTACTGCATCTAATTCATCTCTGTAAGATTTTGCTGTACGTGCTTCATGCATCAAGTCGTGATTCTCTTGCTTTAATTTCGTCACCAATATTTTGTGATACTCAAGATCCTCTTTACATTCTAACAATGCTTCAGTTTTTTCTTCCCTATAAATAATATAATATAATATAATGTAATATAATATAATATAATATATAAACACTATGCCAATGTCAAACAAATGTACATACAATTCTTGTCGTTGTTTTCTAACTTTGGATTTCCAATCTGCCAATTCAACTGCATAATGATGGTTATCTTCACGTTCTGATTTAGTAACAGGATTAGATAATTGAACTTTATTCATATCTTCTGCTTCCACACTATTTGAAGAATCATTTCTTTCAACATTTTCACTTATAGTATTATCTCTCCATCTCTATTATTCAAAAACATTTTCCAATTTTATTAATATTACACTGCAGCAGTATTAATTACTATTTATGTAACATACCTGACGATATATGTCCAACTCTTGTGTCAACTTTTTTATCTGCATAAATAATGTACTCATATTTACATTTTCCATTGCGTCTTGAGTAAGAACGATATCTTGGTAATCTGTAACCTAGTAATATAATGTTAATGCTGCTAAGCTGAATAAACATAAAGCAATTGCATGCAAATATTTAGAGCATTATATCAAAAAACATACTTGTTTAATACATTCTACTATTGCAAGTTGTGTGTCAACATTCAATGTCTTTATTTTTGTGATAAATTTCTCCTTATTAGGACATTGTACAGCACAACCAAGGAGTAATAGTAATAATAATTTCATTTCAGAAACATAATGTCCTGGTTCTTTTCCTAAGTTTGTTGTATCTGGTACCCTTAAAACTAAGTGACCCAATTCTTCTTCATAAAACTGTTTTATATTGTCTACTATAACTTTCAAATTTTTTGCACGAATTAGTGGACTATCCTCTGAAGCGATAATTTCATCATGTAATGGCTCTGGATCTCTATAAGAATAACATTATATTATAGATTTATCTCATTTTAAAGCACAAATGAAAGTTTATAAAAATACATAATTATCTACTTACATTTGTAAAAATACATTATGTAGTAACATACCATCCACCAAATCATCGTAACTAGTTAATAAATTAGAATCCTCTAGGCAACTGGCGAACTATTAGAAAAGAATTGTCACATATATATTTATATTGTATTTTGAAATATAGTCATGAAATGAAAAACTTACCCATGTCACCAATGGACCAGATAATAGATCATCAACTTCTGTAGATGTCATTTTTGTAGGTATTTTTATACTAATTGCTCAAGCAGTCAAGAAAATGATCTTTTCATTCATATTGTGAAAACATTAAATTTCACACAAGACAAAATCCATTCTGTTGTCTGTTCATTATACT